GACATGCAGGCCTGGATGCCATGCGGCAGTACATTAAGCACCACCGGTCCTGTCGGCCTCATTCGTGGGTCAACAAAAAAATTTCCGCAATCCCTATCAGGGTTCTGTACCTCAGCGGTCAGAGCGTGTGGCTGTTAACCACAAGGTCGAGGGTGCGATCCCCTCTGGAACTGATTGCATGCAGTGATTTTTACAGGACCCCAAGACTGGTAGGACAAAAAATATTTGATTCCATGTGTTTTTTTGTGTAGGAGCGCAGAATCCCTGTGCCGCCGGGTCTATCATAGCTTATCACAAATCTAGCGATACAGTCTCGAATGGTACAGCTTGGGTGGCTTGTCCCCTCAGGCCCCCCCAAGGGCATGAGCAGGAGCAGCATGGGCCACTTCAATGGCCCCAACACGAGCCCCGGCAAGAGCAGCAAGAGGAGGAGCGTTACCACGCTCTGCATAGACAGCAGTGGGGATTGGCTAGAGGGGCACAGGCGAGGCCAGGGGCCTCTCGAATGGCACACTACGCGAGGCCATCTCAGCCTCTCTTCCAAACGCTTCGCAGTCCGGCGAGTTACGGCTCTCCAACTCTCCTTGAAGCAAGCAGCCAGGCAAGCAGCCTGGCTCCAATACGCTTGCTCTGCAGTCTCTCTTGCTTTAGCCTCCCTTCCTGCGCCCGACCTGTCTCCCCAAGCCAGCCACCTCGTCCAGGACCTCCCAAGGAGGATCAATGAGGTGTGGATGCTCCATTGGGGTAATAAGTGGAAGGAGATCTGGTGGCGGTTGCTCTTGCATGGGGTCCCAGGTGCAGGGGGCCATGGTATCGCCTGGGCCAGAGGTTCGGTGTGTGCTTCTGGGTGGCGGGCTGCAAATGCAGCTGGCCGTGAAGTGCGTGCCCTTCAGCAGAGGGAGCATGTCTTTTGGACATGTCCCCGTGCCCAAGCAGTGGTGGATGTCCTGGTTCAGAACCTGCCTCCTGGCACTCCCGTGCTCCCCAAACATGTGTGGTTGCTTGTGCCTCCTAGCCCTAACATGAACGAGCGTGTGTGGTGGGTGTTTTGTCTGTGCTCTTTGAACTCGGTGCGGAGCTTCGGTATGACCTCTCACAGGACCTTAAGGAGCAAGCTCAAGTCTCCTTGTTTGAGGGTTTGAAAGATGTTATAGCTGCCAAGGGGAGCAGTCCCCCTTAACCAACGCTTTCCGCCAGGGCCATCCTTTCATTGCTTCTGACCAGAACTCGAACTTGGTCTTGAGACTTGCGTCTAAGGGCAGTGGTCTGTGTCTCTGCTTTTTCCTGCCTTGGTGTGTAGGTGCGTGCGTGTCTAGTGCGCGCCCCTCCTTCTCTCTCTCCCTTTGGACTTGCGCCTGCCACTCTTTCTATTTGTTTAGGAGCTTTCCCTTCCTCTAGCAGAGGCCCTTTAGGGACATCGCCATGTCCTTGGGCACATGTAACAAAAAAAAGACTTAGGGTTGTATTGTGTCTGTTGGTATGCATCCCGCTCATTGTTGAGTTTGTACCGTACAAACTGTGACATCTGAAGAGTATGTGGTCAATGTGATCCATATCATCACATAGTGGGCATCTTCAGCAGAACCCCCCGTACCGTGTGGCTGGCACTAAGTACAATAAAAATACAATGAAACCTCCTATAAGTTTGGGTCTTACCAAACAAACATCTAAATATCAAGCGTCCAGACTTTTCTTCTTTCTCTATTCTTTTGGATGGCGCACCAATAGTTGCGTCAACCATGTTGGATTTATCTTTACAGGCGACAACATGCCCTGACTCGCCGTTAACCATGCAACAAAGGGCCAAGCTGCTTCAAGTTGACAAGGTGACAAGGAAAAGGAGGCCTCCAGTCAAGCCGTTCATAAAGAAGAAGATCATGAAGGAGGTGATCAGCCTGAGGTTGCACGCTGGAGGGTGGGTGCATTTGAAAATGGCATGCTGCTCATCCTGCACGTCATCCTGAGCTCACTTAAAAAAAGAAAAAAATAGTATAGTCTACGCAAGCCAAAGGCCGCGTGCATTAAGGGAAGGTCCACTAACTGGAAAGCTAGAGGCCTCACCATCTTGCCCAGGATGATGCAAATTGCATGTCAAAGGGATTGTGTCATCCCAAGTGGCTTGCTTGACTCTCAAACTTTGAGTCAAAGTGTGAACGCATTGTCAATATTGGGCAAGACTGCAAATGATGTCGGGTAAGTCCCAATGAAAGTATTTGGGCAATGTGTGAGGAGGAAATGTGACATGTGCATTCCTAGTCGGGAGGGCACACCAGTGATGGCAGGTACATTTTTTGCTGTTTTCCAAAGCTGCCTCTCATCATGTTGCCGACTAAGCTGTTCTTGCTTGGCAAGCATGAAAAAAAGGCTTGGTCTTGCTGCATAGCGCTGGCTTACTTTAGCTCACTGAGATTGCCAGGATCCGGGCTAGCTTCACCAGGTTTGCGTGATATCAGCCCCCCAGCCAAGGCCAGAGTGAAAAACAGAGCCATAACTTGAAGTTGGGATACAAGACTGGATGAGAGAAAGGATCAAAGTATAACTAAAAATAGCATGTCATACCTCACACACGAGGCTCAGATGGTAGCATATCCGTTGGGATAGGATTGTATAGGATAGGTTACAAGGTTACAAGGTTACAATTGGGTTTGACCTTCAGGCAGGTTGTTTGGCTGCTCGGCCTGATGAACTGTTCCATCCAAAGAATAAATATCCATGAGATTAGAAATAAAACGATAAGTCTCATTAGGATAGGATTTGTATAGGATAGTCTCATTCACTGTTCCATCCAAAGAATAAATATCCATGGGATTAGAAGGATGAGATTAGAAGGAGTTGTATAGGATAGTCTCATTCACTGTTCCATCCAAAGAATAAAGATCCATGAGATTAGAAATAAAACAATAAGTCTCATTAGGATAGGACTTGTATAGGATAGGATTACGAAGCTGTACCTGCTAACAAGGCAGCAGCAAAAAGGTGCCTGTAACCAAACCAAGTCTTTGAGCGGATGTCAAGAGACCATCGGGTGCAGCGCCAGGTCATCACTAGCATGAAACTAGAAAACCACACTTCTGTGTTACCAATTGATGCGCAGGAGATTAGAGAGAAGCATAACATGGAATAAAAGTTTCAGAGGCCATCCAAACGGATGTGCTAACTCGAACGACATATGGTACTCATGCCTAATTAGCCGCGATGAGAACCCCATATATCACCACCAAATTCTCCTGAGGGGGCTATCTGAGCGAATCCCCAAATATGCTCCTTACTGCCTTTAAAGTGCGCCAACTCACAGCCACTTCATCTGATTGAGACAATTTTAGCTCTAGAGCTGGCGTTGTAACCTACTAGAGCACATCCTAAAATTTGTGCAAGTCGCCTTGTGCGCTCAAATAGACTGGGCTAAAGCCACATGGGGCATGTCAATCCTATTTCAGTGGCTTTTTGTGGGAGAATGGCCATAAAACACTTACCACTGGGTTTTCTCACTGCATTTTTTTTGCAATGTTTTTGTACAAGGACTTTAAATCATAAGAGAAAAAAACATTTTGGCGCTGTGGGTGGTCAATTATGGTGTCTTGGTGGTAAAATCTAGGGTTCACGCCGCAGCTGATTGGGCATGCTTCCCATGACTGGCAGGTTTAAAACCCTAGTGCTACAGATAGTGCTATCAAAGGAGCCCAACCTTGGAAAGTGCTTGTCACGGAACATATATGCGAGGAGCATGCAAAAAGCACCTGGTTTGGGCCTCAGATAGCCCCCTCTGCAAATCTTCATTCTGGACCACCTACTGCACCAAGTTGAGTGATTTTTGGTGATTTGAAGTCCTCATACCAAAAAGTATAATGGAAAAAAGATTAAAAAGACCTGGTGGTTGTTCAGATACAGAATTCCTGCCATTTTCCTTGAAGAAATTGCAGGACAGGGCGTGCCAAAAAGGTCAATTTTTGACCTTCTTGGTTCCAAATTTTGAATATGCAGGGTGTTAGCATCGTACATAACAGTTACAAACATAAAATATTGAGAGTGAAAAAGGGTCCCAAGGTGGAGCTTTGGGCCGTTTTGGAGTGATCTGAGGCCAGGAGAGTGATCTGGGGTCCTCCGATTTTTTTCATTTTTCAGCGAATGTAGTATTTTTATGGGTAAGGATGGTTGGCATGATTAGATTTGGGAAAGAAAACCGGACAAAAGCGTATCCAGTGATGTGGGGGAGTTGTCCATCTCTAGTAGGATTTTTTTGCTTAGCTGTGGAGCGGAGCGTGAAAGTAGGCGAGTCCAGGCGTTTTAGGGGCATGCCCACAATCCATCAGATCCTCGTCAGCTTTCTTCCTGCTTCTCACCTACGTCAATGTCTAGACTTGGTTTGGAGCGTCCTGTGGTGAGGCCCCTGCTGGCTTGCTAATTGGCGTGCTTTCCTTATTGCATGCGGCCTCTGGCCTGCAAAGACTTCCTATTTTCCCTTCAGCTAAGCTTACCCCGCAGAAAGGCACAGCTTTGTAACCCATTTTCTTTCCTTTCCTTTCCTTTCTTTCCTTGACATCACCATTTGAGTGTCTCCACTGCCTGCATATTTCTTTCTGTCTTTCTTTCCTCTGCAGGCTTTTAGTGAGGCCCTGCAGGGGGGTGTCTCACACGGGCCTGTTTTGGGGTCAGCGTTCCAAAAAGTTTCTGGCTACTTCTAACAAAACTATTCCCCAAACTAACACAGGCATATTTTATGGTTAAAAAAGCACAACTCTGCCAAAAAAAGTATGTGAAAAATCGGCTCGGTGTGTGAGCAGGGTGCTCCAAAAAGGGAAAAAGGGGCAATGCGGTGAAAAATGGGAATTTTCCACCCCACCCCATTTTGTCCAATGTACCCTCAGGTGTGTAGCGGTGATTAGCAGACACCATCGTAAAAGAAATGGGGTCAATTGATGGTCCGGCTGGGTCAGGATGGGCATGAACGTCTGGGAGATTAGGTGGACCCATAAGCTTTCACCTCAATTTTCACTCTGGGAGCACCTCCCGTAAGCTTTTTTTCACATTTTCCCTAGCACATCCTTTTATCATAATCAGGCCTAGATATAAATGTTGGGGTCGGAATTCCGAGGTTTCTAAGATCTCCTGCCAAACTTTGATGTGGCATATATCACTGTTGCCCAGCGAATTGTGGGAATTAAACTAGGCGCAA